GCAAAGTCTGCTGATAATAGAACTGGGAGTGTCTATGAGTGAGTGTCTAGCTGCTCAATCTCTGGCTGTATATATAGCATTACTGAAGAGCAACTTTCTAGTGCAAGTGAGTAAAACAAACTGAAATATGCCTCTGCCGTTGCAGCTCTGCTGTTGCAATGAGACGTGAGACATATTCAGTCATACGCATTGCTGGGTATCGGCCAGTTGAGCATGCTCTCTTGCTAAATAATGCAGAGGCGTGAATATTTGTTGAATTTTCCAGTTCTATGGGTAGTAGTATAAAAAATGAATAACATATGCATGCATGCAATCAATCGAGCTAAGTGCATTTAAATTGAAATAAAGAAATAATCTAATTTCTGCTGTGAATCATAATTATAAACGTTTATAATTCGTTTAACGAAACCGCGAGTGCTCGCAGTGCTGTGGGCCACGCTGCACTCGACACGACCAGAAAATGTTTATGCACTCTGCGGGGTCCTTGGGCTGGTTGCTGGTTTCTGGTTGCTGGTTGGCAAACTTGGAGTTGGTCAAAGCTAAGCACAAACACAACATAATGAAGCTCATTGAGCAAAGATGCCTGTGGCAATTAATGCTCGCCAGTTGATGTGCACTTAACGTGAGCATGTGGCCAACGCTGCTGGCCAGCTGGCCAGCTGGCCTTAAAGCCGATTGACTTAAAAGCGAAAAGCAATTGCAATGAAACTTTTAAGCACAACTGGCAAAGCTGATTGCATCCTTGCGCTGCCAGCGTAAATACTTGTGGTCATTATCTGTGCAACGAGAGAAGCAATTTACCAGCTGATAAAATATTTGCAACTTTAAACGCTACTGAGGGCAGCTTTGCCAGCAAACTGATTGCCAGTTGCAAAGGTGCAAAATCGATAAAGTGTAAGCCGCAGGAGTTTGCAAGTATGAAGGAGCGTTTCAATTTGTGCATAGGATGAGTCAGTCAGCTACATAGATAAAATACAGACGAAATTGTTTTCACGTGGGTGATAAAATATTGCCGCCAGGCGACTCGTAACCGAGCTGCCCTCAAGTGCTCATTGCAGTTTCCCAAAAGTTAAATGCACACACATTCCGCGTCTGTTCACTTCACAGATCAAAGCCATCTATTCGACACTGGTGCAAGCCTCAAATTGATGGCTAGTTTGCCGATCTGCCGTCTCATATGTGAAATTCGGCAAGAGCTCGCCTCGAACTTGAGCAGCTTATCTATGCAGGACTGGGACAGTCTATTTCAATAAGAACTCTCTTACATGCTCGAGGTGAATGCATTTAATGCCGAGTTATTTTTATGCACCAGCGAGCAAACATCAAATATTTACTCAGAAGTATTGCAAGAATTTTGAAGCCATTTAACCTTGCAAAATCAATTGGCATACCTACAAACACACACACACGGTGGCAGCTAAGGAAAACTACGCTTAAATTTTCTTCTCTTAAATTGTGTAAACGATTATCTGGTTTACAGTTTCCAATGGCTGCCATAGACACGCAATCAATCAAATGGCAGGCAAATATTTCACATACTAATTGTATTTACTTAAAATATGAATGTCTTGAGACCAGCATTTAAATCTCTCTAAGATCTAATCAAAAACAAAAGTGTTGGCAATTACTTAGAAGCATTTTAAGCTCCGAGTGACATTTATTTATTGACTGATTTTTTGTTCGAGTGTGAAATCATATTTATTGTGCTCTTGACAATAATCCGCTTAAAAACGTAAGCCTTTT